TCTCTCTCTGTGTCTCTCCATGTACCTTTATTGTCACCGTTCCCCCCCTTCCCATCTCTCTCTCTCCCTCTCTCTTCCCCATTATACCTTCACTCACTCCTCCCTCATCCTGGCGGCCCATGACATGTCTCCGCAGTCCTCTCTCTCCGCACGCGATCGCCCCTCCCCTCCTCCCTCGGGCCCCTCCCCTCCCTCCCTCCTCCCGTGTGGTAGAAGAGAGCAGTGTTGTGGGCAGTCCGTCAGTTGTTGTACAGTGCTGGCACGACCAGGCCGCAGAAAGGGAGAGTCACGTGAGTGCCAGTGAGTGCCGTGAGTCTGTGAGACAGTGAGTCGTGAATGCTGTCGTTCCTTGTCCTCCCCCCTCCCCCTGTAGGAAGAACCGTTCCCCCTCGGCCACAGCACTGATGCCCCGATCCTCACAGGTTTTGTTGTTGTTGTAGAAAGTAGTTCAAGTCATCTCTGTTTGGCAGCGTCAGGTTCTGCAGTTTGTGTAGTCGGTGATAACCAAGGCGGACCACAGAGCCCAGTGTGGCCAAGTTGTTCTGTTGATGCCACAGTCTGGTGGGGGAAAAAGTGACGTCTCCAGTTTGTGTGTGTGTGTGTGGGGGGGAGACAAGCCCGGATTTTGTGTGTGGAATTTTGTCTTCTGAAGGATTTATGTGGTACAGAGTCGTGAGCAGTTGGTAGTCGCCTGTGTGTGCATTGCATGGTGAGTTGTTTGTGGTCACGAGGGGCTGGAGGGGGCTCGCCTGGAGGGGGCTCGCCAGGAGTGGACTGGCTTTTCTAATTGCTTCTCATACTGCTCATCATCTCGCCTGTATTCTTGTAGGTGTTGGTGGATATATCCTGGGGAGAAAGTTCTGACTTGGTCTCTAGTCTTGTCCCTCTTCGTTCTCTGTGTATGTTGTAGTGAGTGTTGAGGCGAGGTTGTTTGTGCAGCGACTGACCGTCTTATCTCGCTTGTTGTCCTTTGACGCTTGACTCTTTTTCTGACTTATGTACAGCAAACACCTCCGGTGGGGGGAGGCTCTAATTTTCTAAACTATGGGGTTGTTGTACGTGAAAAGTAAAGATAGCGTTTGTGGATACACCATGGTAATCAGTGGTACCAACAGTCCAACGTCCACGCAGGCTATAGACCTGTGCGTGTGTGTGTGTGTGTGTGTGTGTGTGTGTGTGTGTGTGTGTGTGTGTGTG